GCAAGGACTTTTATGAAGATTAGGAATCCAATATAAGTATGATAATTCATATTCATTTTGATTGTTGGGTATATTAAAAATATTCAAAACTGACATATGATTTTTGAAGAATTTCCTCCTTAGAAAGGGAGGTAAAGGTATAAGTTTGATTAACAACTGGCAGAATTAAATCCCAGTTCCACTAAAATACAATTAAAATAATGAGCCCTTCAAACAAAAACAATGTTTTTTCTTACTTCGTCAGCTGATACCAGTACATACTGATTGTGTAATGTATCTAATTTTTTTTTCACAGAAGGAAAGAGGGTTTTCATATTGCCAATCAATCGCTAAATGCGAGATTTTAGCATCGATCTGATTCTTTTGATCCATTCTGACAACGTGTCTAGATCTTATGGTAATCACCATGTCTTGTGCTTTCAACATTTCGCATTTTCAAAATGGGAACAAAAGCAAAGGAAACAGATATCATAATGATGATGAAATTACTAAATTCCTCATTCCTCAGTTTCTGTCCATACAAATTTTAAAAAATTTTATTCGATTGTTCCTTGCTTAATATCAAAGTGTTTTCTACCACAAAAAAAAAAAAAAAAAAAAAAAAAAAAAAAAAAAAAAAAAAAATCGGATCGGTTGCACAAAGTCTGACCATTTGTCATGGAAAGAAGGAATGAGTTGCATGTAACTAGTGGGTTGCGTTTTCTTTTGGGAGGCACATTAGAGTATGATCGCCGGCGTGTTGCAGTGGTTAGAACGTAAGCACTAGAGTCGCTGAGTAAGGAGTTGATTCTTACATCATGGGTTCGAATCCACTGGGTGACGTGGAGACCCGTATAACCGTGTCGCAACGGATGCTGGCACGAAAAAGATCACTCTCTGCTCCAAAGCCGTAAGCTATGAGTACCGGTCTAAATTTTGCAGCCCTCCAGAGGCAAGTGGTGGCGTTCAGTATGGCCTTCAAATTCTCGCAGGGATGTTAAATAAGCAAACAAACAAAGAAACAAACATTATGTTTATTTGTTTGTTTGGTTATACAGTCTCATCCGAAGGACCTGTCTCCACGCTGCACAGTGGATGCGAACCTGATTTACTGGATCAACTCTTTACACCGCAACTTTAGAATAAACGCCCTAACCACTGCGCCACGCCAGCGACAACAAAAACAATAGAAAATGACGGTTTTCGAACGTGCCGGGTCATTATTTCGGCGGAGATTCCCTTAGACTTATATGCCTAATCTAAGTAGACATTTCCCTGTGTCAGTAACATGTACATGTACAGTACTTACTATCACAATTACTTAACTTAAAAGGAACTCTTTCATATTGTAGGTATTAAACGTCTGTTGGCTGGGGTTAATGTGCTTTTGAATGCAATGCAAGATCAATCACTGTGGATTGTATAGAGATAAGAAAGAAGTCTCGTAAAATATCTTGAACATTCGCTGAACAACGCTCATAAAACTATGCGAGTAGCTTATCCTCATGTGTAACCTTTTTGATGATACTTTTCACTAAGCCGAATCTTTAGACCATTTCTTTCTGAAAACCGTTAATTTTGGAAGGTGATAAAATACTCTAAACATTCCTAATTAGACAACCTGCTATTTGGAGTTCAACCCTCGGCAATATACACTGAACATTCGGCATAGTGATTGTTCAAATTATTCGATGGACACTACTGTTAAAAAGTCATGTCCCTGAAATCTGCGAGGTTTTTTTTTTTTAGCTTTTTTGGTAAAACAGCGACAGAAAAATAGATTTCCGTGAGGTAATCGCAATACTAAGTATTTGATGTGCTTGAAAATTATTATATTATTCTTAAAAGCAAAAGTGGTATGACATGCAGTAAATGTTCTACCAAGCCTCGTTCATTAATCTTCACCAAAATATTACCGTTCACGGTAGCTCAGTCGGTAGAGCGCTTGTTCTAAGATTGGAAGGTCGGGAGTTCGAATCTCGGCCGCGACTGACCTAAGTCGATAAAAAAAATGGGTAGCAACTGTTCCTTCGCCATGCGCTCGGCACTTTGAAGTGAAAGTTGCGGGTCCTTCGGATGAGACCTGAAAAACCGAGACCCCGTGTCACGGCAGGCGTTGGCACGATAAAGATCCCTCACTGCTCAATGGCCCTGAGTTCCGAGTGAAGGTCAGAATTTGAAGCCCTTCACCGATATATATGGTGACGTCTCTATATGAGTGAAAAATTCTCGAATGGGATGTAAAACAACATCAAATCAATCAATCACCAAAATATTAACAACTTTAACAGTGAAAGAAGAAACTTCAGGAGTACTGTGCAACAACAGATTGTAGAAGTGGTTTAAATCAGATGTGGGTAATGTCATGAGCGGGCAATGTTCAAAATGTTTCCATTAATGTATTCTTCTCTTCAACTATAGCCTTGCTATTACTTCATTACTGGTGATGTAAATACAGTGAAACATGAAACATATCACGAACAAGCTTATATTGGATGGACGCTTACAGCGAAGCGGTTTTCATTGACTTTAAATCAAATTGTGAACTTAAAGGGCTTAACGAATTATATTCAAGCAAAATCATCCATCTGTGCCTCCTCGTTATAAACGTATTTTACTGTATACTTAACAATGGGGCCCTTAAATCACTTATTATAAAAGGGCCAACAGTAAGAGAACCCAGGTCTTTCAATTGGCAATAACATTTCATTAACATTATGAATTTTTTTGAAGAATATGTCAGACGATGAGCCAGATATTAAGGAGAAGACAACACTTTGTCTGAATGGATTAAAAGTATTAATGAATTTGAAATCTTGTGTTGAGAGGCAATATGAAAAATATAAACTTTCGAAGGAAGTTTTTTTTTCAGATGGTCAATATCTAGGCATGCAGAGTGTACATATTTTCGTAATTAAAGTGTCTGGAAGCAATAGTCGATGAATATTTGTAAGAAATACAAATAGAATTTGTAGAAAGCGTGGACTTCAACTTGAAAAATGGTGGAATAGAGGACTGGACTTTTTTGCGACCAGGAATATTAATTGGTTTCCAAAGTCAATTCCTTTGTTTGCAAATTTATGGTCAGACGATACGTTCCTCAAATATCGGTTTAGTATACCTTCGAATTATGTGGAAAATATTCAAAATTTTAATTACCTTCTGATTTCTAAACTGGTTTCTTATTGTCTTTAAAAAAATGAAACACCAAAAAATGTGTTATTGGCTAATTAAGTTTTTTTCCAAAAGGATTTAATAGGAAAAACATCCTCTGGTATCTTGCACCAATGCCTGGTAAGGTACCTCAATTTTTTGCGAGTAAACATGTTAAAGTAGCAATACTTCATTGACAAAATCTTAGAAAAAATTATATATTATTGAGGAACGTATCGTCTGTCCTTAAGTTTAGGAAAAGGGTTTTTTGAGCAGTATTTTCTTCCGTAAAAGCCGTCACGATAGCCCAGTCGGTAGAGCGCTCGTTCCGTGATCGGAAGGTTGTGTGTTCGAATCACGGCCGCTTCAGACCTAAGTCGATAAAAAAAGGTAGCAACTGTTCCTTCGCCAAGCGCTCGGCACTTTGAGGTGAAGTTGCGGGTCCTTCGGATGAGACCTGAAAAACCGAGGCCCCGTGTCATGGAAAGCGTTGGCACGAAAAAGAGCCCTCACTGCTCAATGGCCCTGAGTGCCGAGTAAAGGTCTAAATTTGAAACCGTTCACCGGTATATGTTGACGTCCCTATATGAGTGAAAAAATTCTCGAACGGGACGTAAAACAACACACAATCAATCAATCAATCTTCCGTAAAACGTAGCGGTTTAAAAAGCCTATGATTTGCATTATCCAATATCACAGAATCCAATCTGTATTCTTGTTTTGAAGAATCCAAGTACTGGGTATCTTTTGATTTTTCATCTAAACCATATAAAGGACAGTAAAGTTTTTTGCGGTTGTGATGCATACCTTACTTAATTCACGTAAGGTAGAGGTGAATCAAAAGAGACATCATAATTATATTAGGTTTATCTTAAGGCCGTTGTCCATGAGTACGTTTACGCCTATGTATTTTAATCTACATTTTGGCCCTGAAAGATTCCCGCACTGTCAACATTGTCACTGCAACCATATAGAAAAACTGTGCCCTAGTTTCCTAATTCAGTATTCTTCTCGTTGTCTACGAAAAGGTGTGCTTCAACGGCGAGCTATTAGCATAGTGATAAAGCTTTTCAAGAATTCTAACTCTCATTGATAAAATGAAATGGTCAGGAGAATTCAAATACTTGTAAAAAAAAAAGTGCTAACTTTCATTATCAATTTGAAATCTATGTCCAGATATTATTCATTCAATTTCTTTGTACGAATATTACTCATTCATTTTTTTTGTAAGAATTGTTGGATTTATACTAAAACTGCTAATCTGTTTATTACATGTAGGATATATGTTCAATTTCCCGAAAGAAGATCCAAGGGACACCAGCTGAACTCTGAAAGAAGAATCTGTGCCCCTTACAGACTCAAAAGAGTGATGCCTTTTATACTGGGCGACAAGTCAGCAAGTATGCGACAAGTCAGGAAGTATAGGACATGATTTTGCAAATGCTCACCTAGATATCCATTTACTCTTAATGATCATGACCGGAATTGAATACCCGTCTTGCATGTACAGATAAATTTGGAGTGTTTATTTGGTTTTATTTGCATTCTGTATTGACAAATCTGAGTCTTTCGTAAATTCTGGACGTTATTTAAAATTCAAGAAATTCACGTCTTTCTTAGTATATTATTGCACGAAAGAAACTGTCATCATTGTGTTTCGATGCTAATGTCGGTCATATCTACTGGTATTATTGAATTTGCTAATCTTTAGAAGACATCTCTATTCCTTTCTTTTGACGTCCTTATACATAGCACCAATGTAACCATGTTAAACAAGAATCAGCTGTGAGTTTGTATGGTACAAAGCATAATTCAGATTGATATTACTAGTATTTATCATTCGTTCATCATTCGAATATAAACAAAAATTCAATTCATAAACTTTTATTTTCAACATATGAACATTGCATCATCATGGACTTTTTCAGGAATATACTTTTTATTTTAACAGGAAGTCACTGTTAGTCATTTTATGCCTTCCAGTAAACTTAAGTAAGTATACCCACTCCAGCAGAGACAAACACAACTCAGCCTCCCCTCCTTTTGTGTTTATCTACAAATAAAGAACACCGTATTCATGATCTTTGTTTATCATTCAATCATCATTATTCAGTAGAGTAAAGGGATCAAGTACATCTACACAGCATAATATTTCTTTTAAAACATTGACACTTTGCAAACAAATCACAGTGCATGCAGTATTTTTTGAGTCATTCGTCTGATCTATGATTTGCAAATGTGTTTTTTCCCCCATATCTATAAAACTATTCAGTTTTATAAGACGGTATCATATATACCTGGAATATGCATTGCATAAACTGCATTCGCTATCTATATGTATCATATATGAGAGTATAGTCGCTTAAGAAACTCGTACTTTCATTCGTCTGATCTATGATTTGCAAATGTGGAGATACAATGTAGTTTCTTTTTTCCATAATATCTATAAAACTATTCAGTTTTCTAAGATGGCATCATACTTGTATGTACCTGGAATATGCATCGCATAAATTGCATTCGCTATCTATATGTATCATAGATGAGAGTGTAGTCGCTTAAGAAACTGGTACTTTCATTCGTCTGATCTATGATCTGCAAATGTGGAGATAGTTTCTTTTTTTCCATAATATCTATAAAACTATTCAGTTTTATAAGATGGTATCATACTTGTATGTACCTGGAATATGCATCGCATAAACTGCATTCGCTATCTATATGTATCATAGTTGAGAGTATAGTCGCTTAAGAAACTCGTACTTTGAACGACATATTTAATGTTTTGTACACCTACATAATTTTGGGGAAACATAATGAAAGGAAATAATTATGATATCAAGCGACTAAATGATTAAACAAAAATTAAATGCACGAAAAAAAAAAAAAAAAAAAATTAAAAGCATTTGAGGGTACATGTATGAACAAAAAGTATTTACATTTGATATTTACATCTTTTTTAAAACAGTATAATTATTTAAAAGTAATTAACCATTTATCATGAAGCAATTTACTGACAATCTGCAAAAACTATTTGGTTGCTCAGTAACAAGCATAAACAAATAAAAAAAAATTACAGTGCCGTTAGTTGCTTCCCAGCTGGGATACTTACCTTCACAATGCCTCCCGCAATATCCCTTATGGCATACACATGTCGGAAATGGATTCCCGTCAAAACCACAAGTCCCATGCTTACAGCCAGAATTTTCTTTATTCACAAAGTCACACTCAGCTAAATGTTTTCAAAAAATATATAATTATTTATTTAGATATGGTCTGAAAGTAAAAAGAAGAATGTCATGAATTATAGCCACAAATACTTTTTAAGCCAATGATCTCATCCAGATGTAACAGAAACCTACAGTGCCCTCTAGAAAAACGGTTTAAAATCGTTGCATCTTGTAATACTTTGATTGAAAGTCAATTGAAGAAAGATAATTCTATTTCATCAAATCGCCAAAAGATTGGAGTAATAATAACTACATGTATATAATATACTTTGTTATGAAAATCTCTTGACAATTTTTTAAGAAAAATAAGAATCGGATACAATCTCCCAGGTCTCAATTTTAGGGGGGGGGGGGAACTTAAATGACTATATGACATATGAAAGTTAACTATATGCTGAATTGTAATGGGCGTACATGTATTGCGGCAAAATGCTTTACAGGGGCAATACCTGTATATACCATTGTAGAAACTCAAATAAGACAAAATTTGCTTAAATTCTTGTGATTACCTAGACAACCATTTATTCTGAATGGTAATGGCCAGAACAGAAAACCTTCCTTGCATGTACAGATGGATTTGGAAGGGTCGTCTGGATTTGGTTTGCATTCCGTGTTTACAAATTCGTCACACTCGGAATCTTTCGTACAATTCGGAAATGGTTTGACAGCAACTATCTCCTGACCTTGGATGGTCGAAGAATAAAGAAAAATGGAAATACCCAGAAGGAAAACCTGAAAAGAGGTCTTTAAAGACAAAAGTATTCTTCACAGCAAAAAAAAAAAACAAAAAAAAAAAAAAAAAAAAAAACACACACACACAAAATCAGGTAGGGATTATTCATCAATTTGAATTTTATGATGATCACATTTCTTTGTATATCAAAAATTTTAATTCATAAATTCTACGATAATATTTTTTCTCTTACCAAGACTTTAATTCCCCTCATTTTTTTCTCTCCTTGTATAACGAATTATCCTCAGTATATATAGTATTTCGACTGAAACTCTGAATAACAATTGGTCATAATTACGTGGAAGTAGGAGTTGCATTCATAATAAACCAAGGAGCGCAAACATTATATGTGACTGACACTTTAAGAACAGCTAATGAAACCACATACCACCCCTGTAAACGCGCGATCAGCAACTCAGATATGGTCGCAACGCGCATTGTTTGATTCAATCAAATTGAGAAAAAGAAGTAAATCAAGTTTTGTCTTATTTTTGATGATTTTTGTACATTGGTGATCTGTTGTTGGTACAACATATGTTAAAAACCATCAATATCCTTAATATATTAAAAGCATTATCTTAATTTCATCTTTTGAATCTAAATACTCTATTATCTAGTTATAGATAAGTTTAAACTTTAGATTTAAACTTTTAATGTAACACATAAACTCCATATGCGGGTGATAAGGGTGTATTGCTACATAAATAAGGGAGGTTGACGATATAAAAAGTTCTGTTGCTGGGTTACCATTAAATTAAAATTTTAATGTCTTTTACTAGTAAAATACCCAAATATGAAACAGATGCGTCAGACTCTGTGGTATCTTTTATTTCAAGTTCACTTGGATATATAGAGTCGCCATATGAATAGAAGCAATTATTGTTCATTGATATTTCGTCGTCGATATATCTAAATGTCGAGTTGAAGGCTGCAGCAAGTGATTTCTTCTTCTCATGTAGAGGTTTTTGAATAATTTCTGCTTTATAAGAATTAAAATTGGTCTGTTAATAAAGTGGGCGCAATTGGCACTCTTGGGAATTCAGACACATTGTTGGAAGATTGCTCTATAAAAACTACATAGATGTTGTCAATCAGTAACTCAAGCATCTTTTTGAATATCATATTTGGAGTACTTGTGTGTACAATTAGAATATTTTTTTTTACAAAATAATTTTGCAAATGACCAATGACAAGGTAAGTAAATTGACGAGTTCTATTTTATTGAATAAGAAGCTGTCAATGGTACGTACGCATTTTAATTTTAAGAAAACTTTAATTTTCAAAGTGCAAAACAGTTAAATTTTATTTATTTATTTTTTACCTAATATTTCAATTTCAAATATACGAGAAAGATTTTTCTATTCTTAACTTTTGCGTTTTAAATTTCTCTATTGTTCAGAAAGTCTACCCTTAACAATGCAATATTCAGTTCCATTTTTTTTTTCTTTATTTTTTTTAATTTATCTTTTTTTTTGGGGGGGGGGGGGATAATTTCAAAATTTCAAAATCTTCTTCAAACGTCTAAATTTTAACTTTCAAAACGTTTTAGAATTTAAGAAATTAAGAATTTAACACAGACAAACACCCAAATTTTAAACAACCAAAAGACACTGTACACTTTTAGTTTTTAGAATTTTACATCATATTTTGAAATTCTTAACTGTTACACGGACCTTTACTCCAGATTTTTTCCAATGATATATATGATAAATAAGTCTAATAAATTCAACTTGTGAAAAAAAAAACAAACAAGAGGCCCAAGGGCCTTAACGGTCACCTGAGTACAACACAACAATTTAGAGGATCCATAAACTGATAAATGAAGCTTTGTTGCCCAAAAGCAAGAAAATAGTATGATTAGCATCAACAAAATAATTGGTCTAGTATCTATCTGTCCCAATTTATCACTACATATTACCATGCAGAGTATGAACAAAATGTCTATTTTTTACCCCCATATTATTACTTCTCACATTGGCCTCACTTGGCCTTTGAAGAACATTCAAAAAGATGTTATTTTTGTCCTATTTTTATTCATCTATTATTTCCAAGTCTACCTCATTAAAACTTTGAAAGTACTTTTTGTATTATACAATAAATATTCTTGCATAATTCTCGTATTCCATTGACCTTTCAAATACATTGTTTACAGTGATGAATTATCAAAGGGAATGGCAAGGGGGAATAACTTTGCTCAGCAGAATACAAGATAATAGAGCCCTGGCCAGGTCCAGAACACTTGACTAAATCGTCCAGGTATTCAAAATTCTGGTAAAAATACCTTTGCATATTAAAACTTTTACTCTGTTTGCCTCGAGTATGCCCAGAAGCATAGAAGATTTTCAAAGAAATGCATTTTCACTATTTTATAAAATAAATAAAGCACCACCCTTACACCAGGACATCTGACACAAGGGCCATGAACTCACAATTCTGGAAGAAGCACCCTTGCTCATCATAACTTTACACTTGTTTCTTTCCTTTATTAACAGTAGTAGAAAAAATATTTTGAAAGAAATTATGCATTTTCACTATATAATTAATAGAGTCACCCCCCCCCCCCCTTTAACCAGAACCCCTGACCCAGGGGCCATGAATTTCAGAATTTATGAAGAGGCATTCTTTCTTATCACAACCATGCACTTCCTTTATTTGAATAATACCCAGGAGCAGAGAAAAAGATTTTGAAAGAATCATCATAACTTTGTACTTAGTTACTTTATTTAATACCCAGGAGCAGAGAAGAAGATTTCCAAAGAATTAATGCATTTTCACTATATAATCAATAGAGCCCCACCCTAAAACCAGAACCCCTGACCCAGGGGCCATAAAATTCACAATTTTGGAAGAGACACTCTTGCTCTTCATAACTATCTACGTATAGAAGCATAATAGAATAGAAGCACTTTATTTAATACCCAGGAGCAGGGAAGAAGATTTTCAAAGGAATAATGCACTTTCACTATATGATCTATATAGTCCCACCCTAGCACCAGAACCCATGACACTGGGGCCATGAATTTCACAATTTTGGTAGAGGGTTCAATGCTTATCACAATCATGCCAACAGTTTGACTGCTTGATGTCCAGGAGTAAAGAAGAAGATTTTTAAAGATTGTATTAATTTTGGTGATTTTAGCCCCACCTCTTAGGCACTAGAGGGGCAGGGACCATGAAATTCACAAATTTTGTTCCCTATCACCCATAAATGCCAGATGCCAAATTTGGTTGAAACTGGTTAAAGTTTCAGAGAAGAAGCTAAAAATGTTCAAATGTTAACACAAGACGCAAGACGCACGCCGATAGACGAAAACGGATAGCAATAGGTCACCTGAGGTGACTCAGGTGACCTAAAAAATACCAAAAGTACATTTTCTCTTTTTCGAATTACTTCGAATTACTTTTGTATGCTTTGAAGTTTCAACAAATAACCATGGAGACTGATCTTCAATTGCTATATTTTACGTTTTGATTTTAATATTATTTTCCTTTGAAATTTTCAAAAAGATATATTCAAAATGATAATCATGTTAAAAAAAGTAAAAAGTGTATAACTTGAACTTATTTGTTGATTTATACAAACATACAAAATTCAGGAACCTTAATTTGATAATAACTTTGTGCACGTTTCAGTGATTTGCCGTGTTTTCTTACTTTTCCCTTGATTTGCAGACATAATTAATTTTGAAAATTATGAGTTATAAGTTTTAAAGGGTTAAAACGTTAACGATATACATGTATAACTGACTGTCTTTAGTGTAATTTCAATGAAGTAGCACTTTGATTGATTGTGTGTTGTTTTAAGTCCCGTTCGAGTAATTTTTATCTCAGATAGAGACGTATACCGGTGAAGGGCTTTCAAATTTAGACCTTTACTCGGCACTTAGGGCCATTGAGCAGTGAGGGTTCTTTATCGTGCCAACGCCTTCTGTGACACGGGGTCTTGGTTTTTAAGGTCTCATCCAAAAGACCGGCATCTTTCAATCCAAAGTGCCTAGCGCTTGGCGAAGGAACAGATACTATGTATTTCTTTTTTTATCGACTTAGGTCAGTCGCGGCCGTGATTCGAACACACGACCTTCCGACCACGGAACAAGTAACACTTAGAAAAAAAAACACTCTGACCTGTCCAATCCTTTTTCATGCTTTTCATCAGTTGTATGATAGCTTTATAATTGATCCGTATCGTTGACGATCGCCTAGCAAGTGTCAATTTTCCCGTTAAGAGTCTATTATTTGTGCAGTTTTTTGAATTTAAGCATGTAGTTGAGGCTTTCAAGAACTGTTGAATAACACGATTTATAAATGAAGGAGATAATAACAAAAATAACTACGAGGTTTGAAAAGAAAAATGCAAACATTTTGAATATTTCAAGAACTATTCGACCAAAATCAATAATTTTTTGGACTTGTTGGGAATTTTTTTTATTTATTTATTTTTTTTTTTAATTAATTTATTTTTTTTTTGCTATTTTAACAAAATACTATAATGTTGTAATGTCATATGCTTGTAAAAATAGCTTTTAAAGGATGCCAAATATCATTACTCGGCGCACAGCAATTTTTTGAGTTTTAGAAATTGGATTGTCAGTGAAGTTTTCTTTAATACCAGGCTATATGGAAATATAATGTAAAAAAAAAATACCTCCATAAAAACTCTATAATCTAAAGTACTCATGAGTGAAAATTAATTAATTTAGCATTAAAAATGACAAAAATATGACGTTAGATGTAAAAAAAAAAAAAAAACTTTACTTAGATATTGTCAAAAATGGTGAAGTCGGGCGACAATTCGGAGCACCAAATTATCAAACGGTACTTTTGAGCGGGATATGGCTCCTGTCCATACGGGAAAAGGTATGTAAACGATGGAAGGACACAAACATATATCTTGGACACAGATGTATACCTAGTTCAAGAGGTTCGAGGATGGCTTGAGTGGTTGTTCGAGAGAAAAAGCGTTTGGAAGACCAACAAACTGAAAAG